ACAGCTGGTCAGAGATGCAACCAGAAGTTTGTGGCTGTAACTTTTAATTCATATTTTTTACACCTAATCATCTCCCTTATTAAAAAATGTATGATCTATGCATGTGCAAGTGCGCTTCATGAAGAAAAATGTAACCCATGATGCCTCCTGCTTCGCTGTGTGGAGGTAACTTATGAAACAAGACGCGTCCATTCGACTTGGCTTTTCAATTTTTATTAAAAATATTATTTTACACATAACAAAGTTAAATAAGATTTATAGGTGGACTGATTAAATATGACATGGAATAAATAGCACTACAGTACATTTAACAAAAAGGTTTATCAATCACTGTTTGTGTTCGTCAAGTCACATTTCATGCCGTGTCCTCTTCAGTCTGTATCGGACCTGCAGATCTCCGTCCGGCTGCAGCATGCCGAAGCCGTAGCGGCTGGGATTAGCTGGTGGCAGTTTGGCCTCGGGGTTGCACATCTCCAGATCGAGATGCGTCAATAGCAGGAACACAAATCTAGAGACACAAGGAGTTCAAGTGTTTAGGCAGCGACAAACCACTCACCAACAGGCAGATTTTTACACGACGGAAATACCAAGCTGATTAAAAAAAAAGAAAAACAGCAAAATCCATAAAAGCAACAACCTACACGTCAGCATTAACCAGCTGCCCTTTTCTTGTGCATGTTGTGGATTGCACGGACCGACCTGTGGCCTCTGTAACTGGATCTGATGTCTGACATAGACCTGCTCTGTCCGCTGGCTGTCCTCTAGCCTCCTCCATAAAGTTCACCACAGAGTACAAGCAATCACTACATTACAGCTGGCTGCTAATAATGATAGAGAACATGAAAGCGAGACTGAAATGATAAAAGAGGGGGGGGAGTATTAAGTAAAGATGGATCTTTGCTGTTCTGATCTGGTAATCGGGATGAAATTTGCAGGAAAGTCTTTGATCATGAATGCCTCATTTTTAAAATTAAGATATATCATGTAGAGATCCAAGAAAAAGAAAAAAAAAAAAAAAGCAGGGATTGTTACACTCACTGTTTAATGGTTGTAACAGCAAACTGTTTCCCGACGCAGCTGTTCCTCCCGGCGCCCCAAGGCATGGTGCAGTACTTCAGCATTTTTCCATTCTTGTAGAATTTATCCTTCACTGTCATATCTTCATTTAGGAAGCGGTCGTACTTGAAAACCTGTCAATGAGAGACAAGACAACAAAACAGTTATTTACATGTAATATAATATCATACAAAACAAGTTTGATTATACTGTACGTCTGCTGTTAAATAAATATTTGATTATTGCCTATAGCCACAGCAGACACTGATAAAACAGTCTCACTCTGCTGCTTGTGCCGTATTTACCATCAATTTGTGGGCATTTGCAAGCTTATCCCAAAGGATGCATTCTGTCAGGAATATAAATCGCAGTGCCTGATGTTCTCAAGATCACCTTTTGTGCTTGAACACGGCTTTAAAATCTCACTATAGAGGTGCACAAGTAAAGGCAGTCTACTGCATTTATAGCCAACAAATACAGTATAATGGGTGGATTTCAATGGTACTACAGACAAAAAAAAAGGATAAATTGAGAACTGGATTACCTTGAGAGTATTTTTACTGTGTAGTATTAATAGTTTTATGTAAGAAAACACTTTTGAGTACTTCTTTTAACACTGCCATCATTCAATTAGAGAAAGCAAGACAAAGTTATCGCTGGTCTTCACACTGAATTGATGAATGCAGCCACGAAATTAACAACCAGCTGGCTAATAGTTACCTCCAATCATTCACTCATGTTTGTACAATCTAGTTAAGTCCTTGTTAAGGCTGTACGCTGCTCTTATACGTGACATTTTTCCATTTGTATGTGTTGAACTTTCATTGTTTGATTATACACAAAAGACTTGTTGCACTTGTGGCCATGAGTACTGTGACTGCAGTGAAGTGCATCCACACTTTAGGATGTTTAGTTCTCTTTTCCATCATCACTAAGAGCAGTGTTTTTGTGCATGTGAGAGCTGCTCCCAGTTCTCACATACAGACTTAGATAGAAACCTGTCTTCTGGATTGAGAATAGTAAAAAAAACACAAGTTAGGAACAGACTTGGCGGGATAAGATGTGCAAGAAAATGATAGTGCAACAACAATAAATAGGAAATTAGGCTAATTAAGAAGTAAAATAGCTCTAATTGTTTTGTTTTTTTAAGTGCCATGTTTTTGGACTCATGTAATTAGACTATGATAGCCATTTTATTCTGCTTTTACTTGATGCATGCATATATTTATTTATTCTGTTTTAACGGTATTTTCCTGTTTGTGTCTGCCTGTGTTGGCTGCAGCATGGGTGAACAGCCCAAGACAAATTTCCCACACCTGGGACAATAAAGTTAATCTACTTTTTTAATTCCTTCAGTAGCGAGCAGAACTAATGATGTCGGAGCTTATCGATCCCTCTGTCTTTAATAATTTAACCCTGTTTAATCTTGGGTTTCGGCACCCATCCCTAGTTTTCATAACCCACAACATGCTACATGCTTAGAGCGTCTCATTGTATGTTAATGTCTGTGCTGTTAATGCTCTCATGTCACGGTGCACTTTAAGCCTCCACGCTAAGCACCTGTGGTTCTTGGTGTATCTGTGGGTCCATCTGAGGGCTGAGGAAGGGGAACAGGCACACTCTGTCCCCCCGTCTCAGGCGGTACTCCCGTCCGTCGGCCATGCGCAGGATCTTGTCCTGCACCACCTCCCTGTTGATCATTACCGCGGCGGTGAGTCGTAGGGTCTCACTCAGAACGCTGTCTGCAGAATGGAAAGGACAGCAGAGAGGATGATGTCAGAGGGGTGTCATCACGAGTTAAATCAGCGGTGCCCTCTGGCGTAATTTAGAGAGGCACAAACATTTACACGGATATGAATATGTGAAGAAAAGCAATCATCATTTAGTGGATTCAAAGGTCAAGCTTTAATTGTCAGCGTCGTTGTTTTCAACAAACTTGCTTCCAGCGAGTCAGACGAGTCTTTGTTTCCATCTGACTAAACCCCAAAGTGGAGGAGCTGGAGTGAAAAAAGGCTGCTAGCAGCTGGTACGTACCAAACACAGGTGTGCTGTGCGCTTCCAGCAAGCTGATGAGGGGATGCTGTAGGGAAGTATCCTGGAGAGCGGAAAGGCCTCTGATCTCTGACTTAACAGCCTCCATAGCCTCAGGGTGAGTGAGCAGGAAGCCGAGGAGCCAAAAGGCAGCAGGTCCAGCATTGCACTGAAAGGAAAAGCAGCAAACACAACCTTTATGTAGGCTTCAAGTAAGAAAAAAAAACACACAAATCTGAGTGCACATTTTGTACACGCGGACGCAGAGCGCACATCAAGAAGACACTTTTGATTATTTATCTGCTTTGGAGAACGTTTCAAATTAATAATTCCTGTCATTTCTCTGCACTGCTGCTGTCGGAGTGTGAGTGATACGAGGAGAGGCCGGTAAATCAGAGCACGCTTTGAAGACAGTGCTGTCAGAATCTCAGGGAGAGACACCTGAGCCTGTCAGACAGTAATTGTTATGGGTTAAGGGAGCTGTTCGTCTGCACATCTCAGGTCAGCTCTTCATTGACAGCCGGGGTAAATGCCCAAAAGCAAGTAAAACGTGCTTCGCATTGTCTTTCTGCCCTCCCAGAGCTTCACATCCTCACATCTGTTGCCTCAGATTATGAAATGAGTGTGGCTACCCCAACAGCTGCAGGGTGGGGATTCTGAAAGGAAGAGCTGTGCAAACGGCTCTAAAGTAAATATGTAGTTTCTGTGATTTTCGGTTGTTGTATAAATGCAGCTAATAAGACTAATTAGTGAGCTTCAGAGGAGCTGTTGGGCAGTTTCTGCTCCCTAGCCAGTCTGTTTCCTTCTATTTACAGTCTAAATGCTAAACCAAGATGAGCAGCTGGTGGTTCCAGCTATATTTCAATTTGAGCGTGGCATCAGACTTCTGGTCTCAATGTGATCAGAGATTCTTTTTAAAAAGCGTTTGTGGGGATGAGACACAACAACACATCACATCCTGATCTCCCCTAAAGGGTAAATAACTAATAAATTCATTTCAGCCCATATATATGTATGTTTCAATCAATAGCATTGATTGCTTGCAAATGGAAAGAGGACAGCAACCTCCAGCTTGTGCAGGACTCGTGATGATGCTGTAGGTGGCTCGAGTGAAATCCTAACGTTACACTTTACTCCGAAATATGCCAATCTTTCCACAAGCCACATTCACTCTGGCACCTCCGACTAGTCTCACATCTAATCCCTCTATTCTCTGCAGTGGTGCTCCAGTTTCCATCCAAGACCGAGACTGTGTGCTCCAACATCCCGGCAGACATGAAAAACACACAAACAAAGATGCTTGAGGACTGGCGGTGTTTTCCTAAACAAGCAGAGCGGCTCTAAGAGCCTGCAGTGGGTGGTCTGGCGAAAGGTTCGTCCACGCTCAAATGCTGTGCACGGGTGTTAAAGGATGAACACTCCTTGTTGGAGTGAGACCGTCAGGTTAGCAGAGGACGGAAACTATTACAGATGAAATGTAGCATGGATGAGCGGCAGGCACAAAGACAGCTTGCTATCTCCCCCAACTGGAGGCACAGAGTAATGCCGCCATGTTGCTCTGAACTTGCCTGGACTGGTGAGCGACAACTTTGTGTTCAAACCCTGTGTCAATATGGCTAATAAGGGGACTTCTAATACCATAGTCATCTTGAATAAATGATATTTGAACAAAGTTTCTGATTAACCTGAGACTGGATTTGCACTGGACAAAGCAGAGTATGTAAGAGAGCTTATATATTGTATACAACCTCAGTGTTCACACTCACAGGTTGCACAACACTGTGAGAGGAGCTGCACTGACAAAACACATGTTCCCGGTATGAGCGCCTGAAACTGTGTGAAACAGGAAACAGAGGAGGCAACTTACAGCTCACCAACACAGTTACCCTGCACGCTTTTTACACTTGTAATTACTAAACCTCAAGCAAGATAAGCTGACGTGGAGACTGATTCACATGATCAAAACTGGCAAAAGTCCCCTCCGAGTTACAGGTTGAGACAGGTCGCTCTGAGTAACTTAGCTGTGAGGAATCCACTGTGTCTCGCTAATGCATTGTTGGCAGCTCTGAGCACCGTGGAGAGGAATTCGAGCACTCAGCCAGGGCGTGGAAAGCTTGTATATCTTGGTATCACCTCAAGGCCCGATGTGAGTGTGTAAGTGTTTGTGGTTTATGTATGTGTGGGAGAGAGACAGACCGTAAAACAGCTCTCACCTGTGTGGTCCACAGCTGGAACAGTGCTGCTCTTTTCTGCATGTCTGCATCTATTCCCTCCTCCTGCAGGAAGCGGTGGTAGCTCTGCTGCCAGGAGTTTATCTCCGACCCTCCGCCGAGGCAGCGCGGCGACAGGAGCTCCCACAGTCGCTCTTGGGACGAGTTGGCTGCTTTGCTTTCCTCTGTTGGCATAAATTCACACATACTTGACTGTGCTGTATAGATATAAAACTAGATTGGCTCCTGGAAGCAAAACAGTTTCCGTTTACTACTGTACCTCTCTTGAGGGTGCAGCGAGCCAATTTGGTGAGAAGATCATCAAACTTGCGGAACTCTTTGTAGACTTCTGCAGTCGCGTCTCTCCTCTCAAACAACGTGAGGTATCCGGCTCTGAAAAACAACACTGACGTTAATAAATCTTAGTTTAAAATTCATAGCATATATCTAGGGTTAAAATACTGCAAGTTACCTGAAAAGAAGGCTGTAACAGAGGCTGAAGAGTCCCTCCTGTCTCCACTCTGAAAAGCCTTTGTGGTTACTGAGGAGCAGGTTCTGAAGGTGGGTGTTCATGCAGCTGCTGAACTTGAACAGACTGGGACCTTGGAAATGCCTGAGGGAGAACAAATTAACGAGGATATTGAGATTTGCAACACTCATATAAAACAACAATTAGCGAACCACACAGTCTGTGTACAAAAGATGCGTTCATTACTGTTTCATCCATGCCCTCTCCGATGCAGGTTCGACGTTTGGCAGCTGCAGTTTGAAGACCCTTTGTATCAGCAGCTTTCTGATGCGGGAGAAGTCGAGGCAGACCGTGTCGTTCAGCACGTTGTCAAAGGAGTTCGGGTCTAGGAGCACTGTCACATAATGACCAGCAACACGGACCTGCACAGACATCAGTTTAGTTGTTCAAAGTAGTTTCAGTTATGGTTTTATCAGAGTTCTTTCATCTGAAAGTTCTTCCTTCTGTGGAGGCAAATTAGACAAAGAACATGCTGTGGTTTCTCTGCGGTGCCACTTTCAGATGAATTCAGATTCAGAGTACGATGATGCACTAATTAACTTGCAGCAACATCACATTCTAATATTTTTTTTAAACTGATTTATTGCTGCAGCCGTGTGAAAATTTGATTCTCATGCATTTTACTTCCTAATTTGCAATTTTAGACTTTGACCTTCCTCTTTCAAATGAGTCTTCACTCAAATCCAAAAACAAACATTTGCAGTCATTTTGAGAACTTGCCGTGAATATATCTCCGTGTTTTTCTTTCATCCGGGCCAAAAACTTTGCAGCATCTTTTCCAAACTCGAGCGCGTGTCCCAGCCAAGGAAGGAAGCCCTTGTCCAGAGGAGGCTCGTATTTCTGTCTGTCAGGTAGAAGGAAACTCATTACAACAATGGCATGATACAGTTTTGCTTATCTACATTTCACACATTCACAAATCTCACCCAACAGGTTTGGCATTGACATAAAGTCGTGCCAAAAGAGCTTCTTATCTGCGGTTACAAAGCCATGGAAGTATGTAGGACACACACCTGCATGCCTATGTATGTATCACAAAAATCATTTTGAGTTTCATTGTATTGTATAGTATCGGAAGCACACACTAAACACCCTCAGATGTTGTTTTTTTTTGTTTTTGTGGGGGATATTTTTGCACCTTTATTAAAAAGTCAAGACAGACAAATGAGGGATTTCTCCCTTATTTGTCTGTCTTCACTTTTTAATTTAGGAGGGATGATTTACAGTGAAGCTCCATCCAGCCAGGAACTGAACCCGGGACTCACTGCTGAGGGCATTCTCGCACTTGTAGTTTGTATTTACTTTGCTTTCAGGTCTCTCAATGAATTATAGAATTTAAACAACTGGATTAATTTGAATACATCTAAAGTTATTCTCTAATGCCCTTTGATTAACATTCTCTCGTTAAAAAAAGTAAATTCTTGCAAAAATGCTCCAGTGCAGTATTTTACAAAACTTCAAGCCTTAAAGACCCTTTAGTAAATATCTGCAAAAATCAGCTAATTAATAAGAAGCGTTACCTTGTGCGAGAGAAGTAAAGGAGAACTAGTATGAGCAGTCCATTCAGAAGTAAAAATATAGTCCACACCATGTTTCTGTTGAGCTGTCCTGGAGGTAATGTACTCCATAGCTGCTGGCGACTCGCTTATAGCTCTGAGCCCGGTTCAGCTGCAACTACCACATGTTAGGGGGCGCGGAAAGGTGTGGCCTGTGACAACAGTGTTACACAACGCACTGCTACAACAGACAGTGTCAGACACCACAGAAACCACCGTGTCACCCAGCAAGTCACAAACGGAAAGAACTTTAAACGCCTGCGATCCGTTTCCAGGGTTTACAGCTCTGTTTACACCGAGTTCCACTTCACAGAATAATGACCAAACAAGCCTGCACAGGAGTTCTGCTTTCTGCTTCATATGTACATGAGAAAGCCACATGCCAGAAAATTGCACAGCCATGACATCATCCAGGTACAGCCAGTCATGCCTCATTAGAGCAGGTGATGTCAGGAAACACACATCTGATGTGTGACACCGGTGACTTTCCAGGGTTTGTTGATGTGAAACATTTCTATGACAACACCTGATTCCCCTGAAGCGTTGTGAAACGTCTATTTTTATCTAAAGACGACTTACTGACAGTGACGGGCATGTGTCTGATGACTGCCACGCTAAAGCCAATGAGTAATTTGCCTAATTTGGAAATGCAGATAAGAGCCGTGACAGTCAGAGTTTTGTTACGTCAGTGGATGATATGATGAGTCAAGTGTTTTGCAAATGAACTGATGAATTTCCAGTAGATGACATCTTAAAGACAACGCTTGAAATGCTTGTGAATGAGGCATTTGAAAGAAATAATAGCATTAAATCCTTGGTTTTAGATGGCTGCTTTGTGTTAGCAGTAACAGCAGAGGGCAGTCATGCACTAAAGGCCAATTACAGACTCTGAAAGCGGACAGCACACAACAAAGCACACGCTGGTCTGCAGACGGTCTTATTGCACCTCATGGGGCTCCTGTGCATGTTTCTACATTCTGTGATTGCACTTCTGTTGGTATGATCCCAGGTCATCCTTGATATGATGCACAAATTCTTGCTTTAGGAGATAAAACCACCGTGGTGGACAGAGAAGGATGGATCCTGTCAACAAGACGGGAACTTTTTACTGACCAAACCAGCTGCAGCGGCGTCTCCAGACATTTTTTAATCAGGGTGGCCACATTAAAATCTCACGGTGGCAAATGAAGCAACTCAGGAAGTCTGCAACAAATGCTGCAACAGCTTAATAGAAACTGCAAACTCTGGTTTCGTATTTTACAGTTAATGCTACTGATTATCTTAACAGGGACAGCTAGCATTTTGATCATGAGGGTGATTACATTCAGAATAGCTCAAGAAAAGAGATGCTACGGCGCATTTGAAGGGATAAAGTTCACCCATAGTCGAAACATCCACAGTTTATTTATAACTCCAATACTGAAGCTTTTGTCTGAGTGATGACAACAACAGCAACTCATAGTCCAAGAAAATGTGTAAATCTGTGACGCATCCTCATACACAACTTGTCACTGCTGCCAGTATGCAGCAATTATAATCAGAAACATCTTCCTCATAACAAAATTTGATGCAAAAATAATGATAATAATAAAAAATCTGACTTTAAAAAGAGATGAAAATCAGTCTTTTACAGGAAAATAATATCCAGCTGTGATGGTGTTAATGATTCAGTTGTGTAACTAATGATTTAACTGTAGCTGACAAAGTGTGACTCTGAGTGTGGCCGCTCACTATGACGTAACGTTTCTGTACCTGATTGATCGTGTCTCCATGTCGGGGATTATTTATAACCAAAAGTATTAGATGAAGTCACAGTTGTGTTGTGTGTAAGTGCACAGATCTCTCTTCCCTTTGTAGGTCCTCATATGGATGTTTGATGTCGCAGGTGTTTCACAAACTCAAAGGGAAAACTCCCACAAACAGCTGGAAGCAACAAACTCAACACCTGTTCATGTTTTAGGGTCTCTGTTTGTGCACCTCCTTCAGCTAAAGTCACAAACTGTGTCTTTTGTGCTCTCTGATGTTACTTGCACTCAGACATAGTAGCTGCATTCACTGAACCTTGGACATCAGAGTTTCAGTAAATTAATTTGACCTATCAGATCTGAGGTGGGGCTGCACGGTGGATCGGTGGTTCGCACCTTCACCTCGCAGCTAGAAGATCCCCGGGTCACATCCCAGGATCTTTCTGTGTGGAGTCTCCATGTTCTCCCCGTGCAGCGTGGGTTCTCTCCAGGTTCTCCAGCTTCCTCCCACACAGTCCAAAAACATGTTGAGGTTAATTGGTGATTCTAAATTGTCCGTAGGTGTGAATGTGAGTGTGCTTGGTTGTCTGTCTCTAAGTGTAGCCCTGTGATAGACTGGTGACCTGTCCAGGTGAACCTGCCTTCACCCTGAGTCAGCTGGGATAGACTCCAGCCCCCCATGACCCCAGTGAGGAATAAGCAGTGTATAGATGCAGTGTTTGTGTTGATCACCAATGTCAGCTACCAACCTCAGATAAGAAAGTACTATTGTCTTAGTTAAATACAAATAAAAAACCACTGGAGTTTTTTGTGTTAACGTCCTAAAGTCGGCATTAAAAACTCAAACCAACACTATCTTTCTTTAACTTGGGGTTGTTGGTGAGATGCTGCACCTGATTCTATGGCTGGTGGACATTTGATGTGTGAAAACACGTGTGGGAACCTTACCTTCAGTTTACCAAACGTTAGCCAATGCTCGTCGCATCTCTGGAGGATTTCTGGCTGTTATAGATGTGAAGGTTCTGTTTCTAGTTGTGGATGCTGGAGCTTTCAGTGTGAACAGTGAAGGAGGGACCCTTGTTGCTGCCTTTGGAGAAGCCCTGCGGAAAGAGACGCCAGATCTCCCTGAAGATGGTCCAGCTGGGACCCATGACTCATGTGGTTGTGGGAGCTGAGGCTTCCCCTGAGTTAAGTCTCTGGATTGATTTTGAAGTTGTATTAATTACACATAAGGATTTACATGGCCTCGTGGCTATATATCCAGTATGAAAGAATGCTCTCTATCTTGGGGTTTCTGACTTTCACTCTTCCACTGAGGAATAGTTCATAGTCTTATTATCAATTTTTAAACATCTTTCATTTATTTAATGATAGATTTTTATCCTGCCGTTCTATAAATATGTATTGATATATTTTTCAATCACAAATGCTGAAGCTCTTTAACCACCTCTCACAAACCAAGAGAGTTACTGAAAATACCTCTGAAATTCTTCCTGCACCAGGTAATCAAAGTGAGCCCTTAAAATTATTATTAGTGTGAAAGCAGCAGCAGTTGCCCTTCAGTTTTCAGTCGTGGAGGAAGACAACATCACTGCATTACAACACATGAAGAGACACCGGAGAGGCCTTCAGCAGCTTCCTCTCCACCACCACACAGACTGACGTGTCCACCTGTCGTCTCTGCAACCCACACCCGCTTCCTCTTCAAAACAAAACAAAGGCTCCACTCACTTCTTCTTGAAGGATCTGTTTCCTATTAAATTTCAGCATTAAATGAGTGAACAACGCCGCTGTGTCTAACTCCTATAATGGAATGGTGACCTTTCCAGGATGCCTCTCGCCCAGAGTCAGCAGGGAGAGACTCCAGCTTCCACACAACCTACAGCAAGACACAAGGCCTCTTACAGGATAAAGCATGGATGGATGGATATACTAAGTCCATAGCAAACTTTCTCCACAAAACCACGTAGTCTCTACTTTATGAAGCTAGCTCTAAGATGCATGCTACAGATTTGTTCCTAGCCATCATTTCAGTGCATCACATTACTTTTGGCAGATTTGACAACGTAAACACCATCATGCTAACATATGCCGTATTTATTAACAGCCCAGAGAGCTGGAAGGGATCCAGCACCCTGCTCAAGGGTGTAAGAAACATCAAAAATAAAAGCACAAATTACAAAATAAAATGGCACATGTCATGGATATATTATTAAATATAAAAACACTGGACATTGTTGTATGCCAGCAGTATTGCTCTGGTCTGTTAACAACCTTATTTACAGTTACACAGTTAAGTCATGAGCTGCAACTAATGATATTTTCAGTGCCAATTAATCTGTCAATTATTAATTTAAAAACTAAAAACTGGGAATCATTCAAATTTAAGAAACTGGAAATAGTCAGTTGAAGGAAAAATCTGCATTTTACAAAAATTCATAAAACTTAAACTGCGTAGAAACTGTAAAAGACATCACAATATGTATTTAGACAAATAACATTCGAAGCCTTGTGGCCCTTAAACTATGAATGAACTGTCTATTGTAAAAATGCAATAGAGCTACAGGGCTCCAAAGATGGCTGGGCTTTGGCAGTTGTCTGGCCGACTTTTTTACAAATTTCGTAAGAAACGTATGACGAATCTCTATGAAAAGACATTGCACACCATCCCTGATTGAGTTGTTTTGATATAGAATTTATATGGGTTTTCTCAAAGCTGCAGAACAAATTAGGCGGCAAAAATTGTATCGGAAGAATTTATACTAAAAATAAGCCCAAAGAATAGCAATAAGTGTGTTTCAGTGCTGATGCATTGGCACACTTCACTGGGCATATGTAGGTGTCTGCAGCTGTTTGCACGTCTACACAGGAGTATAATCAAAGCTTATCCCAGAAAACAGCAGCCCCGCCTCTCAGCTGCTGCAGGGAAGTGCAGTTTGATACTTTCACATGAATAAAGAACTAAAACAATGGTTTTATCCTCCTGTAAAGTGCATTTTAGGAATTTCCAAGACTTGATGATTAGCTGGCAGAACCACTGTTGGCCAAAATGAGCTATGGCAAAGGCACACTGGCGAGTGAAACCGTCTGTTTGGCTGCTGTCAAAAAACACCTACATATTGTATGAAATTGCTTAACAGCATGACCTAAAGGGCATTAATCAAATCAAATCAAGTTTATTGTCATTTTGCTGTACAGTACTACAGGCAAGATGAGAGTGTTTCTTCAGGATCCAATAACTTAAAGCAATTTAAATAAAGTGTTTGCACATCTGGATCAGCAGTTCAGCATTCGGACAGCTTGTGGCATGAAGCGGTTGATCATTCTGGAGGTTCTTCCTTTA